ACTCCCTTTTCTTTCCCAGATTCCTATTATTACATAAACTAGTCTCTTAGTTTTATAATTACTTTTTCATTTTATCATAATTTATTAGTTTTGAATACCGGCACCAACGAGAAGTTGCCACGAAGACAAAGTGAAAATGTTGGTGAATTATTGCTTACACCTAACGTCTCTAAGTATTATCCCCTTCATTTAGGCTTCCCTTTTGAAGCTTATTTGTCTTTTTAACTAAAAGGGTAATCAATTATTTAATTGGTTATAAAGTTAGAAATTTATATTCTCAAGCATCAAATTTAAAATCTAGAACGGATATACAGAGTATTAAATTTTGTGTTAAAGGATTTTAATACCAGTTCATGGTGTATGCACTGACCATATATAATTCAGCTCTCACTAATAAGTCCAATATTACTCTTAAACATTTGGCTGAGCTCCTCAAGTTTTTGTATGATATCTAATTAAAGCATGTTGGACATTAAAGTTTTGATTTTTTAACAATAAAATAAAAACCAATTTGTCACAGAAGTAGATGCAATTATTGGTTTAATTGCAGACTAGTTGATTGATAAACTAATCAACTCTCATTATATTATAAAATAATAAAACACAAGGAAAATGAAGGAGGATCTTTTGGATGAAGTAATGTAAATGATATTTGCATGAAGTTGCATGCATGCACTGTAAAGAAACCTACTTTACATATATATATATATATATATTTATATATTATGTTGTAATGGAGTACTTGGCTGTACTTAGTGAAGAAGGGAAAAAAGAATGTTTGGTTTCATGGAAATCGTGATTTTAATTTGATATTATATATATATATATATATAAGTGTGTGTGCGTGCGTGCTGTGGTGAAAATTGAAGACTTAATGGCTAAGTTATGGGAATGGGAAGGAGAGTAGTGCAGTAGAAAGTGGAAGTAAGGGGGAAGAGAATCAAGATATTTTGAGTTGCCCAAAAAGAAGAAAAACAAAAGGTAATGGGTGACTTTTTGACTCACTCGACAAATTTGCATTTACATAAACAGGTTTTGGGTGCCCTGATATTAAACAAATCATTCATTTCATTTCCCATTAAGAAAAAGAAAAATCAAAACCTGCATCTTGACAAATCCACCAAATAAAACCTGGGTTTTGCCTTTCACTTTCACTTTCACTTTCACTTTTCATAAAGCCTGCCTTCCCTTTTGCTTAACCTTCACTCTTCCACCTTCTCTTCCTCCCACTTCAAACCCTTTTTCCTGTATAAATACCCCACTTCCCCTTCTTCTTCTCCTTCATGCCAATACTACACTTGAGAAGTATTGAGATTCATTTCATTTTCCTCTCCTACGTCTCCTGTTAGATACATAATCAAAGTTACTGCTTCAAGATGAAGAACAAGGTGTCTGGTTTGTTGAAGCAGATCATAACAATGTTGACCACAATGGCCAAGGCTAAAACCATGGCGCTCAAGTCCAAAACCAGGGCTCTCAAGACCCGTCTCATTATTTTCTCCTTGCTCCGTAACAAGAAGATCCTCATTACCTCCATCTCCCACAAGTTCAATGCTTTAATGGGCCAAACCCAAAACAAGTACCAAGATCCTGGGGAACACACCAGAGGCATAGAGCTCCATGCCCCCATTCCAGTTGAACAAGAAGATGATCATAATAACGACAAGTACCCAGATCTCACCCACTCCATGTTCGACTCGGAAGATGCAGAGTTTGAAGATGCGGGTGGTTCTGTCATAGACATGGTGAAGACCTCGAAAGAGGAGAAAGGGGAGGAGTTCAGGCTGGAGGACGAGATAGACCGGGTGGCAGACTTGTTCATAAGGAGGTTCCATCGCCAAATGTTGATGCAGAAGCAGCTCTCCTTCAACAGGTCACGAGACATGGTGGACTCCACCCCATGAATCGTATTGCAGATTCAGTATATAGAGGTGCAAATATGGCAATTGGCACAGCCACATTTTTATGGCTGGTGGGATACATGAACCTCTACATTCACCTCGTGTATTTACAGCTTTTCTCACTCTTATTCCTCTGCTTTATTCACCCTTTGTACCCAAACTTGTATAATTCGAGATGACCAAATCAACATACTACTTCATAAACCACCTCTCTTCTCTTCAACTTCGACTAATGTTTTTCTTTTTAATCCTAAATGGTTCAGAGGATACCACTAATATTTTTACTTATGTTGGCTTTTTGACATGTATAATTAGAATTATAATATAATTTGAAGTATTTTGTACATGGTAGAAGTCTCTGACATTTGAATTAGCAAAGTAACGCGTAAAAAGTTAAGAGCATACGAAAATTGGGACACGCGTCGGGAGCCGAGCCGACCGGGGTTGATCTCGACTCCGGGAAAACGCGGAAGCTAACTGCCACCAGCCTCCAAATCCATTAAGTCGACGCCATAAATGGGAATCCATTATGAGTAAAAATATCTATAGATGAATGATATATATATGTGCAGCATAACATAAATATGAGATGTAGTGATTGGTCAATCCCTTCCTAAGTCCTCCTATTTACAGTTGCTATCATTCGCTTTTCAACGCTCCCAACCACCGTCATTCCCAGCCAATCTGCACCAGCTTCTTCTTCTTCTTCCGGTTGTGCCTCCCTCCACCACGCAACTCTCTTCCCTGGTAGTTTTCACTTCTCTCTCTCTCTCTCTCTCTCTCTCTCTCTCTCTCTCTCTCTCTCTCTCTGTTTTCTATCTTCTCTTCTTCCAAGCCGTTCAATTTCTTTATGATTGCTCTGTGCGAAATTCGGCTTCTGATGTTAAACCAACATGACTTTCTATATTCACAAACCCAGAAGAAATTATTTCACCTCCTAATCCAAGATCCAATATTTTTCTTCATTGAACTAATTCTTCCTTTTTCCTTACCAAGATATCGTACCTACAAAAATTACGTCAATTGACATTATCTGTCGTTCTACTCTCATTTGAATAGTTGTTTAAACCAATTTTGCAATCCCTTTCATCCACTCCAACCACATCTTCTTATTCTTCTGCATTCATTAACCCCTAAATCAATTATTTCTTTCTTTGAGACCTCTATCTTTACTCTGATTGGGATCGTTGAACTTTTATGCCTCTTTCTTTATTCATTGTCTCCTTTCAGGTTGTCACCCACTGCTTCTGTTACACCAACTGGGATTTTCTTTTTTTTTTTTTATAAAAAAAAATTACTGCAATCTCTTATACCCCCATAACTTCTCTACTGACGCCTCTCTCTCACCATAATTTGTTTGTCAGTATCTGTTTTTGCCCCCTTTATTGAGTTTTTCTCTCTAAACACAAAAATTTTCAATCCCTCCAGTCTTTCTCTTTGTCAATTTTATGTCATCAAGATTAAGCAGGACCAAATATTAGATGCCTTATTTGTTTTCTGTTGCATTACTTTTGATGTTGTGGAGTGATTTCTGTTGGGTTTAAGTTTCTAACTTCAACGATTTATGAGCAGAAGCTCATTGTTCGTGTTATTTTACAGGGAAACAATCTGGTAGTATAGTGACTAGGTTACATATGAGGAATAGAACTCATAGCACCGGTGAATGTTCTAGCTCAACATCATTGAGCAGTCACCAAGATACTGAGGATGATCGGATGATTGCTATTGTCTTGTCAGAAGAATATGCCAAGCTAGATGGTGCTATTGGCAGACGCCTTTCTAATCTTGCCCCTATTCCTGTGAGGTTCCTCTTTTCCTCTTTCATTTTTTTGCTGCTCTATTTGGTTGTGAAGAACTAATTCTGGTCCATAGATTGATACCTCAATTTTATAACTTCTTTGAATGCCTAGCTGGAGTTCACTTCATTGCTAAATTACCAAACTGGATTTTCATTAATATTTTCATGACCTCCTAAACATAATCAATATGGTTCTCTCCTCTAGTTGTGCATTTGGACGAATTTGATGGATAGATCAGTAATGTTTCCATTATAGTGCTTTCTGCATTCTTTTGATACTTCTTTGATCTGTAGAGCATTTGCCTTTTTCAAGGAAATATATATGCTTACTGCATTCTTCTAACCAAGTTTTTGTATCTTCAGCATATCCCACGAATAAATTCTTTTATACCCAACTTTAGTGACGCCAGTTTGGATCACCAACGCCTTCTTCAGAGGTATGTCTCAACTTCACTGTTGAACTGGCTTCCTTTTTGAAAATCTTTTTTGCATATATTCACGTTTTGCTACATGTGTGTTTATGCAAAGGTAAATATACATCTAATATTTAATGCATTTTTCCTGCAACCATTTATATGGATACTTCTTGTTCAAATGTGAGCGAGCTTGCTTATATTTCAATCAGAGAGAGTCATGTGAGAATTTTTGTTCCCAACTCAGCATGAATTTGAAGCTCCAAAGCATATTTCTATTTCATTTCTAAATATCTGTCCTTTTTCATTAACTTGGAGAATCATTAAACTTATGCCAGCAAGTTTTGGTAGTGAGGCCCTAGTGTCTTAGTGAAACTCGTGTCAATTTTTCAGGCTTAATGTCTATGGTCTATACGAAATGAAGGTCTCTGGTGATGGAAATTGTCAGGTATGGGCAATGCTTAATAAGAAGGTTATATGTCCTTTATGCTCTCTATCTTTACTAACATGATCGATGCTAGCAGAAAGATGAAAATGTTAACGGAGTGTTGCTGATTTCCCCTATAACTTGCAGTTCCGTGCGCTTTCAGATCAGATGTATAGGTCCCCTGAGCATCACAAGCATGTGCGGAAAGAAGTTGTGAAACAGGTAAGAGTGTCTATGATGTGGCGAAAACTTTGCTAAGAATTTAATCCTTTTGAAATTCTGGTAGTAAGACTGTTTGTAACTGAAAACGTTTGTGATGAGGATGCAACAGCGATGCTAAAAATGTGCACTTATTCATTAGTTTTTGTCTGACTTATGAATATCTAAAAATTCTAGGATGTTCAAATGTGTAAATTAATATCTTTTAGCAATTCAGAGAATCATAACTTGCACTATGTAGACCTCCCCTCTTAATCTTCATGTTCAGCCATCTCTCTTTCCTTCCATACCACCAGCCTCATCAACCGTACCACAGTCCAACTGCCCACTTTAGAACTTTTTCAAACTGTTGCTGCTTCCCCCTGGCAATGTTTTGACCTTCTATCTTGCTCTATTTGTAAAAAGATTCTTCCAAATGAAGTTTATATAAGTCGAACCTTCAAATAACAGTTTTTATATCCATTCTCTTGCTGCAGCATTGTCAACTTTTAAAACCAACTTGTTGCTACCTATTGCCAATAGTCATTACCGCGGCCATCAGAAATCTACAGCTATACCACAATTAGGTGCAACTAATCAGAACTGCAAACCAACAGAACGCCATTGCGACTGTCATTCCTGCTATCATTATTACCGCCACTTATTGCTACCTATGATCACAGCAACTTGCTCCAACTGCCTGCTCTGGCTTGTAATCCTGACATCTCACTAGTCGGGCTAACTAACATTTTGTCTCAAAACTCTGGTTCTTGTTATAAATTAGTCTTGAAGCTGTTTATTTTGTTACAAGGTCTTGAACTATCAGTAAACATTTCAAAGAAGTCCTACTTAGCCTTCTTTTAAGGAGGACTTATTTTGTATACCACCTATATTTTAATATGTTATTGTCTTGTATTATTATTAGCAAAGTCATAAATTACTTCATCAATTTTATTGGTTACTTTAGTCCTTTCTTTCAGTAATAATAAAAGGGGATACCATATACAAGTACGTTTTCACTTTCTTAAGAGTAAGGTTGGGTTTATATTTTGACTAAATTGAACAAATGTTTTAATTGTGGAACCTAATTGTGATAAGAAAATGTATGGGACTAATTTGTAACATAAAAATGTTATTAGATCTAAATACTAATGTCATGCTTACCATCTTCCAATTTCTCTTGGCCACATTTCACTAGTACAGAGGCATTAAATGTTGAAACTCTAGAATCTTATGTTTCTGCTTTTACTCTGTGCTAAAGATAGGCGGCTAAAATTTTCCTGGATGTCAAGTGTCTCAGCTTTAGTGGGAGAGGAGGATTTGAACTTTTAACTGCTATGTATCATCAATGTTTCAATGTGTGGCTGTCCCACTGTCTGAATCAGAGCTTGGCTGGATAGCAAACAATATAGGAGCTTATAAGTTTAATACATCTATAGTCTTCTCAAGAAATTGTAGAATAATATGCCGGAGATGGATGTGGAACACATTCTCAAGAAATTGACTCTTCTTTTCTTCATGACTTATTTTCTGTTCCAGCTCAAAGACAATCAATCCTTATATGAAGGCTATGTGCCAATGAAGTACAAACGCTACTACAAGAAAATGGCAAAGTATATTTGATGAACCTTTGTTATGATTATCCTTACAGTTTAATTTTATAAAAAGCTTCTGCTGATGTTTGGGATGACTTACATTTATCTTCTGAATTTTGTATGCGATACCGCAGACATGGTGAATGGGGTGACCATATAACCTTACAAGCAGCAGCTGACAAGGTAGGGTGTTATTTGTCCAAACTGCTATAAGTTTATTTAGTATTACCATATTATTAGCCAATCATGATATTTTTTTCTTAAATATATCTGCTTGAAAGTACCACTAAAAACAACATTCTCTCTCTCCGTTGTGCACTTCTTGTCAACGTTTCGTATATGGCCCAGTGCTTGAAGTACCAATATCTTCTGAAATTTTTGTTATCTTAAGTGAAATATCAATTTCCTTTCATGGTGCTTATGTCCCAGATCATCTAATATACTGATTTTTCCTATTTACATGCAGTTTGCAGCAAAAATATGCCTTTTGACGTCATTTAGAGATACTTGTTTTATTGAAATTATACCACAATACCAGGCACCAAAACATGGTAAGAGATAATATGGTGCCATTTTCTTTTCTGTAACAACTCTCCCTGCTCTCTCTTATTTATTTGAAAAAAAAAAAAAAAAAACAAAACAAAACCTCGATCTCTTAGCCTGTATCTGCATGTGGCTCTGGGATCCTATTCTGTGAGCAACAAAAAGGCCCCTTGTAACTTACCAAATAGGTTCTGTATACATAATGATCTTTCACTTCTGGTAAACTAATTGTGTTCCTGTCATTTACAGCATCCCACTTAAATTTCTTTTGAGATAACCTTAAATGCTGCAATTCAGATTTATGTGATTCCATAGCTCTTTTAGCGTGAGATGGTAGAGCCAGGGATTCAGGCCTTTGGTTCAGGAAATTTGGAGCTTTATGGGTATCAACTTATGAACATAGTCTCTAATATTTCTTTCTCATCTCTTTTCTGCTGCTGCAGAATTCTGGTTAAGTTTCTGGTCTGAGGTGCATTACAACTCACTATATGAGATCCAAGGTTAGTTTTGCTCATGCAAATTGGACAGAGCATCTTGATTCTTGGACAGAGTTGAAATCCATATAATTTGTCGAGTTTCATTTTCTGTTATGCAGATGCTCCTGCACAGCAGAAGCCAAAGAAAAAACATTGGTTGTTCTAGAGGAGGAAGAAAATTGTTGAGGGTATACTGTAGTACAACACCTGATATTGAGCGAAACTTGATTATTGTGAATATTATTTCTTGCCGTGTCGGCATAATTGATTTTTTGTTATTTCTCTTTTTCTTTTTTTTATGACAATTCTTTCACAAAGGTATTGTGTTTTTGTATTGTATATTTAGAATTTTGAGATGCATTGAACTAATCATATCATTGCTTCTATATCTGGGCCTGTTTTATTTCATTCGTTGAGGCTGTGAGTTTGAGCTTAAACAATGGAGTGGAGTGGAAAAAAAGAAGTTCCACAAAAGGTTGTGCAGTGTTAACTCCCAAGCTCCACGTGACTACATGTATAGAACAAATAACCATTTATTGGGTAGGTCAGAACTGGGTAAGACCTAGTAGGAAAAAGGGAAGGAAGATGCACATGAAAGAAGATAAAGTCCAGATAATATTAGTATAATAATTAAACAAATCTGGCAAGGCATTTACTGTCTGTTGGTTCAAGATCCAAATGATTTTATAAAATTATGTTATAAACAAAACAGAAGAGATTAGCATCATCAACTGATTTAACAGCTGTTAGTGGATTGATTAAAGCTTCCTCCTCATCCTCTTCGGATCATGTGTGGTTGGTTGACTTTGATCAGAAACTAGCAGGCTTCTTCAAGGCATAGAAGGCAGTCAATCTTCCTCTTTGGAATTCGATGTATTAGTGGACATGGTGATCAATCAAAAGACTTCAACTTCAAACTCAGTCACTGCTTTTGTTTTTGTATAATTATTGCTTATCATCACCTTACTAGTTTTAGTTTTATGTATTCTCTCATATCCTACCATTAAAATAGTAACTTAAAAAGCTTTTCTTTTATACGGAAAAAGCTTCTCTTTGCACCTTGGTGCTCTTCCGTAAAACATGAACTATATATACCTGAAGTACTTTTAACTCTTAATGAGATTATATAAAAATATAGATAACTTGAAAAAGATTTGGGCGTCCTATAACTTTCAGTATTAATTGTATGAGTTTGAATATAAATATATACATAGATAATACACTTGGGATTCCAGCTTCATCACACAAATTATGAATATATATAAAAAATGGCAGTGCAAGCACATGCCCTGCTGTGTGTTTGCCCTCGTAAGCAAATCAAATCAAACCCTCCATTACACAGGCTTGTGTTTGTATTATATTTGTTACCAATAATAGAATGTGTTCCCGTAAAATCTGTTCTGTTTTCATAATTTCCACATCCAACCTTTTCTCTTACTACTTACCCTTAAGTCAAAGATCCAGTAAATTAATTCTAACTTTGGCGGTAAAAGAGCCCATGTGCTTGTACAGTAAACCAAGGAGATGGGAAGTAACTCAATGTATCTGCAACTTCTTCTGAAACCCTAAATTTAACAACTTGAAGCACTTACTTCCATCATTTTTCACATGATGGGACTTTATATGTAAACAAAAACAGAAAGTATATAGTGCGTGTGCCTTAATTACTGGCTTGTCCCATATGAAAATGCATCTCGATTTTTGCAAGGCCTTAACCTCCCTGCTCAATACCTTCCAGTGCATGTGCCCACATGACCAATGACGAATATCACCGCCAACAATTCACCTTCACGATATATAACATCAGCTTTCCTTTTTCTCTTTCTTTAATTGGACAAATAATTTTATATCATCCTTGTATTGAAAATAAACAAAATAATGGAGACAGATCGTTAATCAATTGGGGGACTCTAACTGGCATATATTAGTTTAATGTGATCTTACAAGGGCAGTCGGTTATAAATATGGTCGTGAGGCAGGGGGTTTGGAGAATGAGTAGCTTCTTTGTTATTTACAGAAAAATGGGTTATATGCTATGGAGTGTGTGCTTGAGCTTTCTGCTTTTCTGCTCTGGAACATGGTGTGCTCCTCCAAGGAGGCCTGTAGATGTTCCCTTCGGACGAAACTATGTTCCCACTTGGGCTTTTGATCATATCAAGTATTATAATGGAGGTTCTGAGATACAACTAGTACTGGACAATACCACAGGTAAACACCAAAACCACCACCTGTACTTTCTCTAGTTCTTAACCAAACCTACGGCTTGACCTTACCTTACATGCTTTTCTTCTTTAACCCAAAAAGGTACTGGCTTTCAATCCAAAGGATCTTACTTGTTTGGTCACTTCAGCATGCATATAAAGATGGTCGCCGGAGACTCAGCCGGAACTGTCACTGCTTTCTATGTAAGTGCTCTTTCTTTCAACATTTACCTCAAATATTCAGCTTACAGTACAATGCTTTAACAAACCTCTGGGTTTCAGTTGTCTTCTCAAAACTCAGAGCATGACGAGATAGATTTCGAGTTCTTGGGGAACAGAACAGGGCAGCCTTACATTCTGCAGACAAACGTATACACAGGGGGAAAAGGGGACAAGGAGCAGAGAATTTATCTATGGTTCGACCCAACAAAAGCTTACCACACCTACTCAGTATTATGGAATATGTATCAGATTGTGTAAGCTCCATAACCATCTATATATACATATCAGGGCTAGTATTGATTAAAATCATTAATCAGTGATGATCTGATTGCAGGTTCTTTGTGGATGATGTACCAATAAGAATGTTCAAGAACAACAAGCGTCTGGGAGTGAGGTTCCCATTTAACCAACCCATGAAGTTATATTCAAGCCTGTGGAATGCAGATGACTGGGCGACAAGAGGAGGTTTGGAGAAGACGGACTGGTCCAAGGCCCCCTTCGTAGCCTCCTACATGGGCTTCCATATCGACGGCTGCCAAGTATCACCCAACTCCGAATTCTGCCAGACGCAGGGGAAGAGGTGGTGGGATCGGAAAGCGTATCGAAGCCTGGATGCTAATCAGTTGAGGAAACTCAAATGGGTTCGCAGAGAATGCACCATCTACAATTACTGCAATGACCGTGCGCGCTTCCCTACTATCCCTGCTGAATGCAAGTCTGATGGAGACATCTAATCCTTTCTTCAGCTTATTTCATACCTCATCGATTCTATTATGTATTATTTATTTCATATTTCAATCACAGTATTCTTCTTTATCTCATTCTTAATCCAAAAGCTTGGATAATCCATGAAAAAAGCCGCAAACCATACAGGGATTTCCATTTCCAGACTAATATTATATCCCTCTTGCTTGCCTCAAACTTGGAAAGTTTAAATCTAGTGCACGTGGTTGTGTGGATTATGGAGCAGACAACAATATCCAAATTTCAAGGATTATGGTATCAACGCCTTTTAAGTATCAACAAAGCCTGTTTATCGCACAGCATGCTTGTTATTATATTCAAAATTATTTTTACAATTATTTAAATTAAAGATTTCTTGACAGTGCTTTGAAATTTTGTTGACAAACCCTTTTTATTTATTATTTTTATACTCATTTATGAAACTCAAGTCCTTATAAGAGTTAGTTAATATTTACGATATCATATGAACTGATAGAACTTATAATTTAAAATTAATTCTAATTCTTGAATACACCTCAAATGACAAACCTCTCAGTCCCGTTAAACCTGGTAGCTGATTCAGGCAATTGATGAGACTAGAAACCTGTGCTTTTCTGAGATCTTTTTATTTTCATTCCGCCAATGTCATATAAATAAGATGCTAGTATGTCCAGAGCAATCCAGCTTACAGAGTTGAAAGTAGGAAAAGCATAATTGCAAAATGACAGGGAGTAAATAATACATGGCAATTGAAGATTGTTCATAAAAGAAATAGGAAATTACAAAAGGGAATGATGAAGATAGCAAAAATTTTAGAGCTACTTGCTTCCATCTACTCATTTATCACTTCCAGTTATTGGCAACAATGTCTGCCAAGTCGACGACTCTCTGAGAATAACCCCATTCGTTATCGTACCAAGCAATGACTTTAACCATGTCATCACCCATGACCATGGTGAGTGATGCATCAACTGTAGAGGATACATCAGTGCACCTGAAATCTACAGAGACAAGCGGCTCATCGCAGACAGAAAGAATACCCTTCAACTCATTATCTGCAGTCTCCCTGAATGCAGCATTCACCTCTTCTGCAAATGTCTTTTTGGAGACCTGCACAACCAGGTCAACCACTGAGACATTGGGTGTAGGCACACGCAAAGCAATGCCATTGAGTTTGCCTTTGAGTGTTGGGAGGACAAGTGCCACGGCCTTTGCAGCTCCGGTTGATGTTGGTACTATGTTAAGAGCTGCAGCCCTTGCACGTCTCAGGTCACGGTGGCTAGCATCCAGTAGCCTCTGGTCACCGGTGTATGAATGAGTGGTGGTCATGGTTCCCTTGATAATCCCTGTAAGTATGCAATAAAAGGGTCAGACAGAGAGAAAGAGAGGAAGGACGAATTGAACGAGGTATCCGAATTACCTACCAAATTTCTGGTCAAGAACCTTGACAAAGGGAGCAAGACAATTAGTGGTGCAAGAAGCATTGCTGATGATGGGCTCATCTGGACTGTAAGCGTCGGCATTGACGCCAACAACATAGGTCGGAATATCACCTTTGCCAGGAGCAGTGATGAGAACCTTCTTAGCTCCAGCTTCTATGTGCTTCCCTGCACCTTCCCTATCTACAAAAACTCCTGTTCCTTCAATCACAAGGTCAATACCCATTTCCCTGTTTACATTTTTCAACCATTTAAATAAATATCCACATTCAACTTCATCTGCACTCTCTGCTATCTTAATTAAATTACTTACTTCCATGGCAGGTTAACTGGGTTCCGGTTAGAGACGACCTTGATGACTTTTCCATCCACAGAGATAGCATCATCCCCAACAGGTTTCACATCAGCATCGAAGATTCCCAGGGTTGAGTCGTACTTGAGGAGATGAGAAGCTTGCTTAACACCGCCAGTGTCGTTAATGGCAATCACATCAAGAGGAGAGTCCTTGCGACCATGCCAGCACCTCAAGAAGTTCCTGCCGATTCTACCGAACCCATTTATTGCCACTTTTAGCTTTGCCTCTACCACGCCCTTTCTGTAACCACCATTGTTGTTTCCTATCTACACATGTACATCCACTCCCCAATGTTTATATACACGTTCCATCTCACAACATATATAAAACTCAAGAATGAATAGACAAGCATTAGAGTTAACGAAGAAAACGAAACTCACAGCAGAGGTTTGGAAGGCAATGACGGAAACAAAGTCTTCAGAGGAGGATTTCCGGGGGAAGGGAAGACTTGCGGACGAGGAACGAAGACCTGAGAATTCACTGAAGCCCTTACCAGTAGCCTGCAACAAAATCAAAGAGCAGATTAAATACATATAGACACGAAGAGAGTATAATTAAGGAAGGAAGATAGAAAGGGTGGAATGAACCTGAAGAGCTGGTTTGGCTACAGAGAGAGTAGCCGAAGCCATAATTGGTGATTGGGTTTGGTTGGGATTGATTGATTGATTCTAGTAATGTAGTAAGTAGTAGTAGTAGTAGGAGTAGAAGATGAGGAAGAGAAAGGATGAGACTCCGGATAGCCTCTCGTTTAATGTATGGCTATGATTTATGCTCTGCGTTTTGCGTCTCTTCACCTCCACCTCCACCTCCACCAAATCTTACATGCAATCATACAATCTGACTCTTACGCTTGCTTGGCTCTTTAAATCTGTACTGGGCTCTCTGGGCTTCTTTTTTTTTTTTTTTTTGTGCCCCAAAAATTTTCCAATTATTGTGAGAGAAAATTAGAGTCATGAAATTACGATTTGTGGAATGGATGGCCTCTCTTTTTTGGACTCCACATGGACCCTCGTCAACTATATGCCACATTGTTGCGTGGGAATTTAATTAATTAATTAATTAATTAATCAATCAATCAATTATATAGAGAGCAAAGAGATATGTACTTATCCAGGCCAGATGGACGAATCGAACAATATAATCTCTTTTTTTTTCCTTTTCTTGAAATTTTTGTTGGCAATGCACGTTCATTACCCCAGTTAAATTTAATTAGGGAATCAACCGTATTTATCAAAATGATTAATCTTATGATGATTAAGAAAAATAAAAACATATGTATATGTATAAGTATATTCCCTACGCTCAAACTTTTTATATAATATTATGATATAAAGAAAAACAATTAATTAGGTCCTTTATGAGCACAAATTTGTTGTTAACGTACTTGAGATCTAAAGAAAAATTAACTGATTAAATACAATTAGCAAATGCATATTCAAATGAACCATGTATAACTTGGCGTGACAGCCCCCCTCAGTGATTATATTGGCCTTAGCTTTGAAGCCTCGATTACAAGTGTAAGTTGGACGAGTCATATAGTTGATCGTAGAAATGACTATGACTATGTTATATTTATGGCTATGAGGTGCGTACTTACCTTAACCCCTTCGTCTACTATTCTCGACAAAGCACAAGTTAATTAGGATCTCGAGAACACAGTAACCACCTCAATCAATTCACTCCGGATACGGGATTACTAGTGAAAGATTTTTCTTCTCGTTATCTAATTATTTGTGTTAATTGAATTTTTAAGAATCGTAATTTGGTAGCTCATACCGCTTGCACGTAAAACTCTTTACAACCATTTGGTTTCTCGTCTTCTCTTCTTTCGTGGGATGTGTTTTGCCTCCTAATTCTATTGATTGATCGATCTATAGTTTTTTTTTTCTCAAAGAGGAAATAATTCCTTTTAAGGGGAAGGACATTAGTAATTCTTGTACTGTTAAGTGACATAAAAGAGGTGAAAAAGAAAAGAAGGAATCCTTGAACATTCAATCATGAAGGGGTTAAGTTAAGTTGCATGTATTTTTGCTTGCAGAGAAAGCCGTCCCAAGTTCTTTTTGCGTTGGAACAACATGAGAATTTTCTTTTTTCTTTTTCTTACAAAAAGTACATCATCAAAACGGAAGGCTATTAACATTCTTGCCTGCACATAAATATCCTCTTACCATATTCATCTTCCAAGAAGCAGCCGCATAACTTCTTTAACCCTCTCTTCTTCCTCGAGACATCTGAGCAAACCAGAAATCAACATGGCCAAGGAAGCAGAACTGAAGGTAGTAATTTTTTAAGCCATGTATACATACAGATGTTATCTATACAAGTATATGTAGATACAGTACTTAAAGTAGTTGAGTGTTGGTTTCAGAAGATGGAACTGAAGGTCTCTATCAACTGCTGTGATGGATGCAAGCGGAAAGTTAAGAAGGTGTTGCAGAGTATTGAAGGTAATGAATTATATACTGAAGTATGTATATATTGCATAGATATGAAATTAAGATTTGAAACATATATGAATCAGGCGTTTTGAAGACAGAAATAGATGCAGCAGCAGCAAAAGTGACTGTCCATGGAAACGTTGATCCCCAAATTTTGATAAAAAAGCTCTCGAAAGCAGGGAAACAGGCAGAGATATGGAGGCAACAGAAGGGCAAAGAAGATGAGAGAAAGCCCGATAAGTGCCAAGGAAAATCTAGTAATGATGCGAATACTAATATAAGTAGTGATCAGCAAGAGATCAAAGCGGAAGGGAAGAGATCAGAATCAGAGAAGGAAATTAAGAAAGGGATGACATTGAAGAAGGAAGGGGAGGGTGGTGATTATATGAGCAGTACTTCAAATTCCGTCCAGTGCCAGTACCCCTACATGGTTGAAGCTTATCCAATCACCATACCCTTCTATGCTGCTATTCCTACGCCTCCGGCTAACCAAATTCCCCTACTCTCAGTTTCACTCCGTCCACGAGGACTAGTCGAGGATTCTTCAATGATGAAAATACTGCTGGATGTCATCTTATGTAAAACCCAGAACAAACACTATTCCTTAATTTCCCTTTTCTTCTTTTTTTTTTGAGAATCAATTTTTCTTCTTAATTATGATAAACTATTATTATTAATTCTTCTTCATATTTATCCGTAAGAAATTTCTTCTAATATCAGAATGAGGACAATCATCAAGGAGTTAGTAGGTATCACCAATGCATTTATCGTCTCATGTCCAACTGTGTTTGGCATATTTGACAGGTTCAAGTCCCAGCAAGGAGTAAGCAAAATAAAATTACATCAATAACCTGGATCCAGTATCAATCTAACGTCCACTCTTGATTACTTAATCAATCAAATAACACATAAGAAAAAGATAAGGATATATGGGACTGCTAAAATAAAAGGGGAAGACTGAAAATACTTGTTCCTTCCTTAATCCCCTTTGTTGGAACAACTATAAATATGTATTAGAGGGAGTATCATCTATGGAATATTCATATTGGTGATTTCATTCTAACCAAAACTGCTTGCAAGATCCATTACTCTATAGACTATCTTACTCTGGGATAAGTTGTTTACCCTCTTCAAATACTAAAAGTGTTGGCACCACATTAAGGACCCTGTAAGTTAAAGAGTAATTCCGACATACTACAACTAAATCATGAAATAGTGAGTTGCAATGCTTGTGCTTTGTGACAGCATCAGATCAATGCATGCTAGATTGCATTTGCATCACTGTATAGTATTTAGTCTAGTGTTACACCATGTACTGACTTGCAAAGCAAACAAGGTTGTGAAAGTAAGATTTAACATTCAACCCATGCTTCAGCAGTTTTCCTGTCGACCTCACCACCCTTCCATACAGTTAGAAAGATCAGAATTTGGGTTCATCTGCAACTCTTGTATACACACACGTCACTAGCTGCAACAAACTACAACTTCCCACTTTCGATTATAGGCAGACGGCATGCAATTTCACATCAAATCATGTTATTACAAAGTGTTTATGGCATTAAATAACTTTGTCTCTATACTTGTTTTTTTATTTAAAAATAAATAAATATTCACACAGAACTGAAGGAAAGGATTGACAAACATGGCAATACAAAGGCAACATATAAGAAGCATTTGAGTAAAAACTTAAAAACATCTGACTTGTAGTAATCAAATGGTTAATAAAAAATTGTATTATAAATTTTACTGAAACTAACCTCGAAACCTAATCCAGTTGCCTGTAAGAAAGAACGGAAACATGTGTCGCTATATAGCTTCCCACGTGATTATGTTCTCAGACAACTACTGATCCAAAAGATCAAAGAATAAAAATGAGCAAAGAACAAAGATTCTGCACTGACATTTTAGGCCTCCATTGCAGTATTAGATAGGCCATCAATGACGATGGTTAAAGCCATAGACAAAGCTGGCCTATCTGCTCTTGGACGAGATTATAGCGAGGATCTCATCACCAATGCGCCCAAGACCTTTCCCAAAAAACAAAATTTAACGAGACAGAATTTTGCAGCTGTTAATAAGTTCTAGAAACTGTATAACTTGCTCCCTGAAACCATGTTTACTTGCTCTGAGATAGGTTGAACCAATATGCGATGTAATAGAAAACTTAAATGGCTCACGAGTATGGAAGTTAGAAGGAAGAACTGTATGACTAACGAGAATCTTCGATTTCTAAAAACTATTAAAAAGATTAGGTAGCAGCTAGAGTACACTATTTCTAGGACATTAACGATACCAACATAGCACATTAGACAGTCAACTAAACTCGTTGCTTTAAGCTTCGCGGTGGCGAATGCATAACACTAACAAGCCCATACCCGATCAAACTCTGAGAATCTGAAGCTTGGTGGAGAAGGCGATTGCAACCCAGTCAGGTTGGGAGGACGACCATTGAAGCTGCTCAATCTCGGCTCCGGCAGTATAAGCCAAAATAGGATCCAGTCCGCCTTCGACGGGCTGACCCATGGAAGAGAGGTCCCATATCAAAGCCTGGGAATCGTCCCCCGCGGTACAGATGTGGCAGGAACTGTGGGGCGCCCAGGCAATGGCGTTGACGCTGGCCTGGTGTCTCTGCAACTCCACTACAGGAAGAGTGGGGAAACGGATGTCGAGGACAACAACCTTGGAACTATCCATTATGATAGTAGCCATGTACCTGGGATCCTGCTTGTTCCATCCAAGGCGAACCAAAGGGGTGTCTGGCTCAGAGCTCTCGTAAATGATAGTGGAATGCTCCTTGTCGCGAAGATCGAAAACCCTGACGGAGCCATCGGCTGAGACGGAGGCAAAGACGCCGACACCTCCCCAAGCGATGTCGTAAACCTCCTTGTCGTGGGCGATGAGCTGGGTGTCGACGGTTTCTCTCTCGATATCCCAAATGGTGCAGGTGGTGTCGATGCTAGAGGTACCGATACGCTTGGGCTCAGCCTCGTTCCAGTCGAAAGAGGTGAGGGGACCGCAGAACTCGCTGTTCTTGTTACCATTCAGGAGGGTCTTGAGCTCGACCTTGGATTGATCGTCGGCGATGCGCCAAACGCGAAGGAAATCACTGGAGGTGGCCAGTAGGTCCGGCTTCTGGCACTCCTTGTCAGGGATGAAGATGGTCTTGGTGGGAGGATAAGGGTGCTCGAAAGATAAATTAGGGTCGCAACGGATCTCGCCATTGGAATCGTCAAGTTGAACGATCTCGACGCGGTTAGGGTACTGCTCGAGGAGACTAGCGATGGCGAGACGATACTTCTTGTCGCGACGGACGCTCCAGTTCATGGCGTAGATGTGCCACGGTGCCTCGTAGGTGTAGATCTCCGATCGCTTCTGTTGCTCGTCGGAGCCGTCCTGATTGGGATCGCTGCTGGCCCCCATGTCCTCGTCTCTTTAATCCTCCAGTTAACAAAGAAAAGCAAGAAGAAAATTGGGTGATTGAATCCTGCTTCCAGTCACACAGATCCCTCTTCTCTGTCTCTGGACTCCGGCTCCGGATACACACGAAAGAGAGAGAGAGGGAAGCGTCAAATGCTGAAAATTAAAGTGGGCCCCTTCTGTCTTTTACTAGAAAGTCAACAGTCCAAAAGCTCTAGATTATCAATAACCAGAAATGGTATAATCTTATCATATGAAAAATCCAGTCCTCTCTCATTAAACTTTGGCAGCGAAAGAGCCGGGCGCGGATGTTCTGGAACTGCAGATCGGAAACGGCACCGACTTTGTTTGTCTGCGTGGCGATCTTATCTTTTTTCCTTCCTCCATCAAAATCCCATCCTACGAGCCCCTCTCTGCCATGGCTCCTCAATTCCTTTCTTTCCTTTCATTTTACGGAAGAATTCTATTCATGTGCCTTCTGTTCAATTTTTTAGTACCCAGACAATTAACAAACAGTCCCATAACTCAATGCCATTCAAAGAGAAGGATTTTGCATGGTTTTCCAAAGGATTTATTTTCTTTTTATCTTGAAATCCATATTTAAGGCAGAATAATATAATAAAATAAAGGGTTGTACTTACTCTCTCAATTTCTTTCAACTATACATAAATTATATTATCACATAGTTTTCTATATTGTAATACAAAAATAATTTGTTCTCTGTTTTTAGATAAAGTCTTAATATCACTTGTTATTCATTTTTCATTATTGTGAAATTACACCAACTACTTTTATAAGGACTATAATATAAGTTGGTCATGAAAAAGTAATATTTACATTTTTGAACTTTTTTACTTTATTATCTATAGTGTAATTAAATATGCTTTTAAATATTAATAAAAGCTACAAAACCCATTATGCACATATATATATATATATATTTTTTCATATTCAAAGGAAAGAGATTATAGTATTCATAATATGATCTAAGATGATATAATTTTTTGCAAACTTAAACTTAAACTTACTCTCATTGCGGAATTTGTCAATATGCAAAAATGACTCAATTTCTAGAGAGTTACAATTAATATTTAATAAGTTTTGAACTAATCAAACTGATATATCATGTAAAATAAGAAATAATGAAATTTATAGAAAATGAGAAAGAATGAAAAGAAAAAATTAATTATTTTTCTGCAGCTTATGATTATGATAAAAATGGACTTTGTAAATTTTAGATACGATAGGAACCCAAATAACTAATTTTTTTTTTAACTTGTAATTTCAAAAATTTCGCGGTTGGCTTTGTGTGGATAAGGTCGTTTAGCTCGTATTTAAATCGGGATTTGTCAAAAAATGCATCTCAGCTCAGGGTTGAAGAAGAAGTTGAATTGAGTAATTTGGCAGATGGATCGACGAGCGAGGACAGTAATGGAGCTGAAGTGATGAGATGGGACGTGTGGTTCTCATTTAATACATGTAGAAGACAATGAAGCTAGTAGCATACTGACAAAAAAGGCAGTGTTACCGTTACCGCAAAGTAAGTAAGCGTTTGGAGTAAACGTCCTGATCAGCATCTGGATGTGGATGTGGATGTGGATGTCCATGTCCATGGTTGCCTCTTTCACCTCACAATTCCCCAAATCCGCCCCCTGTTTTTCTGCAACCTTTCTCCGCCACTTTATTTCCAGTAATTCCTTTGCGTTTCAATCATTTAGCTCGATTATAGTTCCTTTTACCAGAACCTAGATGCTGGAGTTGGTAGGTAGGAGACTGAGTCTCCGGAACTGCAGGTGCAGATTCGGGGAAGTTTCTGCAAGTCGCCCTCACACCTCATTGTTTGTTTGATTTTTAGATGCAAACAATCATTTCTTCAATTCTCAAACTATCACATTTTGTCACTGGCGGTATCTGAATCTCCGGGATATACATACACGTAGGCAGACACACACACACACATACATATTATATTGCTTTTCAATCTCCATCGTCTCTAGGTCGGCTCTTCAATTGTTGGTTTTTATAATTATGTGCTATTCTGATTTCTTTATTTACAACTTCGTCATCGTTGTTTCCTCCTGAGGAATTTTGTATCTAAATATAAACAATTGATTATTTTAAGCTTTCAAAGTCATCGGCGAGGAATCTGAATTCTAGGAAGAAAGAGTCTCTTCGTATTTCTCTTGCTCGGCTCATTTCCAGGTTCATGTGTCTCATAACGTAAATAAGCAACTTCTAGAGTACCTGAAAGCAAATAATATATATATATACTGTTGGATGTAGAAGTAAAGGAATTTTTTTTTTTTTTTTTTGGAAAAAAGAATTAAAAAAAAATGAAGATAGTAGTCCCTCAGGCCCAGGCTATGCAGTCTTATAAAAATCCTAATGTCTTGGGTGGCGTATCAGCGTATGGAGGTCCCTTGTTGTTGGTCATCAGCGCCAAATCATTGCTAGTCAAACGCTCGCGGGGAGTTGCAAACCCGATCTCTCTGGCCCCTTCGTCGTCTTCTTCCTTCAATTCGACTAACTGGATGGCATCTGCAGGCAGCACCATCAATGGCAAGACATGGAATCAGTTAAGGCATGTGGAATCCATGTCGAGCCTGCCGTCAGGTGCCGGCAAGATCTCTCACCTCAACGCGGTCATCTTGGGAGAGGCTCTTGCATCCGAGGAGAACGATCTCGTCTTCCCCAGCGAAGACTTCTCCAACCAGGCTCTCGTCCCTTCTCCTCAAAAGGTTTCTCTCTGTTTCCCTTACATTTTGACTTCTACTTTCAGCTATTATTTTCTCATTCCCTGGTAGTTAATGGTCGTTGATACGTACGTGTAAGTCCCTGCTTAAATGATTGGCATTCTCCTTTTTCTTTTTATATCGTTACCCTTTTCTTTCTTCCTTTACCTTTTTTTTGGAACCAGAAAAGAAAGAAGGTTGCAGCATTTACTTCTATGTGATTATTAGTTTTTTGAAAAGAGAAAAAAGTGAGATTGATATAGTTTATATGATTTTGGTCTCGGGAGATCAGTACTTAGAGATGTATAAAAAGTCAATCGAGGACCCGGCTGGCTTTTGGTCGGATATCGCAACTGAGTTTTACTGGAAGCAGAAATGGGAAGAGAAAGTCTATTCCGAGAATCTGGACGTCAGGAAAGGCCCCATTCACATTGAGGTTATCCGATCTTGTTTCTTCTCCATGTTTTGTTTACTTAAGTCTTTTGCGAAAGTAGATCTGGGTCATGTAGTAAAATAATTGTGGATGTGAGTAACATATGCTCGGCCATTTCCATAACAGTGGTTCAAGGGGGGTATCACCAATATTTGCTACAACTGTTTGGATAGGAATGTAGAAGCCGGCCTGGGTGACAAAGTCGCTATTTACTGGGAACCCAATGAGCCCGGTTTTGATGCCACTTTAACTTACTCCCAGCTGCTTCACGGAGTTTGTCAGGTACAGACTATAACTCAGATGGCCTGATGTTTACACTATCAACCGCACTATTTCTTGACTTGGTTTATCTTTTCTTTTAGCTTGCAAACTACTTGAAAGATGTAGGTGTCAAAAAGGGGGATGCTGTTGTAATTTATTTACCCATGCTTATGGAGCTTCCTATTGCCATGCTTGCTTGTGCCCGGATTGGTGCTGTTCACTCGGTACATCATGGCACTCCACTTTCAGCAATCTTCTTATCGTTTCCTTTTTTTCTATTGGATTTTTTGGGAGCGATGAAGAGACATTAACTTCCAGATTCTTGCAGGTTGTATTTGCTGGTTTTTCGGCAGAGTCACTTGCACAACGAATCATGGACTGTAAACCAAAAGTTGTACTAACTTGTAATGCTGTCAAAAGAGGTCCCAAGTTAATCAACCTTAAAGACATTGTTGATGCTGCTCTCCTTGAATCCACCCAAAATGGGATTTCTGTAGGTTAGGGATTGCTTTCTGTTCTTCATCTGCATTCACCTGCATAAGAAAATTTTGGATACAGCACCTCATGAAGAACTGTTGTGTAAACTCACCCTATTATTCATCTGGTTGGGTGAATGGCAGAAACCAATATCCATTCCCTCTCTGTGTTAATGTGCTCTGTCCAACATTTGTCGTCCTGACAACTTAATATTCTCTCTGATTTCTGAGACTTTCTTAGTTTGTGTGCTGGTACTGGTTTTAGTAGGTTAAAGTAACTCAACAATGTAAATCAAAAGGATATCTCTTGTTTTTCTTTTATACAGATGTATGCTTAACATACGAAAACCAATCTGCCATGAAGAGGGAAAGCACAAATTGGCAAGGTGGAAGAGATATATGGTGGCAGGTTAGTCTTTAACAACATTACTTACATACAAGGGCATATGCCTTTAGGTCTGATGTTCATGGAGTTCTCATTTCCTCCATGCGCTATAAGCTCTAGTGGTTCTATGCCTATAGTTTACTTTGTAACTGCATATGCTTGATTTAGGTTAGTTTGGGTTCGTGATTGCTTGCTAATGTATTTATCAGGATGTTGTCCCCAAATATCCCACAACTTGTTCGCCGGAGTGGGTTGATGCAGAAGATCCTCTTTTTCTGCTCTATACTAGTGGGAGTACCGGAAAGCCAAAGGTAGTACATGCATTCGGTAAAATTAAATCTTTTTTCATGTTTGTTTTAATCTAGATGTTCTAATACAACATTTTGAAAGGGTGTTGTGCATACAACTGGAGGATACATGGTTTACACTGCAACAACATTCAAGTATGCATTTGACTACAAGCCATCAGATGTTTACTGGTACAATTGAAACTCATCTTTTCTTTCTGTTTGAACTATAGTTTCTCAATGACCTATTTTTTAAATCTATCTAACACATCTTTTTCTCTAATTATAGGTGTACAGCAGATTGTGGTTGGATTACTGGGCATAGTTATGTCACTTATGGACCCCTACTTAATGCAGCCGCGGTCATTGTTTATGAAGGGGTAATCTATGGTCAACCTTTAAAATTAGATGGGACAGTACATAATATTTGGTCAATCAGAAAATTGAATGTGCCAAATCTAGATTAACAGTACAACGATTTATTCTTGTCCTCGTGAGGTGGAGTGACCCACTTTGTCATTTAATACCTTTTGTAATGATGTTGTTTCATCAACCTGAACTATTATCCCGAAAGAAGAATTTACTTCATGGGCTTTTAAGAAGATAAATCTTTAAAGACAATGGAATAATGTTCATTGGAATGCAAAATAGTAGTAGCTGAGTGGATTCCAAGAGGTTGTCTTGATAGCTTGTCCAGTAACTATCTAATCCCATCATTTCAGTTTATTTAAGAAAAACGAACCTTTAGAGAAAAAAGAATATATTTCATGGGGATATATAATAGCTGGCTAGGTTGATTTCAAGAAGTTGTTTGTCAGAGTGAGTCCTTTGACATGTAGCCGAGCAACAAGTCAGAGATAATATAGAGGTTTAGAGTAGAATAATCAGACGGAAAGAGAGAGAGAAAGATAGAGAAGTAGTAGGGAGAGAAAGGGAGAGAGAAGAGAAAAGAATTCTGCAAAACCTCAAGGAATTGCGAATATAGATTACAATTTATCAGGGAAATTTCATCATACCTGAAGATCAGGCGACAAGTTGTCTTATATACTTCTATGAAATTCAAACAAACTCTACGCAGAAGGCAGTGAGAACAGCCCAAACAGAATGAGAATCTAAAAATAAATTCTGGGTCCGTTAACCATTTATTGTGTCCTTCTCTACTATCCCTGGACCACTAGACACGTCACATCCCCTTAGATTGACATTTGTAAACCATTAAAGGCTTGGATCCCCTGTTACCATGCTCATCTTTGTCCCGATGTTGCCGGGTTGTGACATTGTTCTGATAGCTTGCTGAGTAACCATCTTGGAAATCATTTCAGTTTTTATTTGAAATGGTCTTGGGATGTGGTTATGATGGAACCTTAATGCAGATTGAAGGACATCGCCAGTAGTTTCCTGCCAGCATTAACTCTTTCAATTAGATGGTTGAGTTTTCTCTTTTTTTCTTCTTTTCCTTCCGAAATGGATGATAAAGTTTTCACCTTGTTGGATTTTGCATATTCCTATTGAATAATGATACATCTCTTGCTGGCAGGCTCCAAATTATCCTGACCCTGGACGTTGTTGGGATATTGTTGACAAGTACAAGGTCTCAATATTCTACACTGCCCCGACATTGGTGCGGTCCCTCATGCGTGATGGTGATGAGGCAAGAAAATATCTCCAACTTTAAATGTCACGTGTGGAAGAGGAAAAGAAGAATCTTTTTAACATAAATCTTCTTTCATTTAATATAGTTGATAAGTTTATTTAAAAAAAAATGCAGTTGATGAGTTAGTTGCAATTCTCCAGGATAAAAAAGATTATGAAGCAATAATACTTTTTCTTTTTCAATTTGGGGAAAATAAAGAGGTTGCAAGTTATCCTTCCTTTTTCGTTCACTTCATTTTGAAAACTTTCAAATAAGGAGCAATTATGTTTCATTTCCTGTCCCTCCATTTTCTTCCATTTTAATCAGACTTGGATATTTCTCACTGTTATGTGATTGTCCATGTAATGTTCATTATCTTATTAAACTGTCTTTTCTAAGCATTCATGTTCCCACATGCAGATGCATAAAGAGCACCAATCCATGGTGCTGTTCACCTTAATTTCATATGTAGCATACTGATGAAAACTATGATTAAATATGCAGTATGTTAGACGTTACTCTCGCAAGTCCTTACGGGTCCTCGGAAGTGTAGGAGAGCCTATAAACCCAAGTGCCTGGAGGTTCTCTCGACTTTAGTTTCCTTTGGCTTATAGTTTATATAAACATCAAAAAGTTTTTTGAGTTTTTTTTGTTTTTTCTAGGTGGTTTTTCAACATAGTTGGAGACTCGAGGTGTCCTATATCTGACACTTGGTGGCAAACTGAAACTGGGGGCTTCATGGTGACTTTCTAATCTTATTTGAATTTTTTTGCAACCATTGTGGTGAGTTTGAGAAATATCTGTTTTCGCAGGAACGTTCTGATAATCTCATGGTTCACGTATTCCTTGCAGATAACCCCATTACCAGGTGCTTGGCCACAGAAGCCTGGTTCTGCCACTTTCCCTTTCTTTGGAGTTCAGGTGTGTGATGCAACCTCAACTATGGATCTGCAGACTCCAGATTTTATTCTTTTCATTAAAACTCTTGCTTCTTCTGACTTTGACTCCTGGTGTTGGTGTTACTGCAGCCTGTGATAGTGGACGAGAAGGGTATTGAAATTGAAGGTGAGTGCAGTGGTTATCTGTGCGTGAAAAGCTCATGGCCTGGGGCATTTCGAACTCTTTATGGTGACCATGAAAGATATGAAACAACGTACTTTAAGCCATTCCCTGGATATTATTTTACTGGTGATGGCTGTAGCAGGTTAGTTGCTGCTAGTAATTAAATTGCCATTTAATCGATCTGCTGTGTGCCACAATACCAATTTCTTGGAGATCTGATATGCTGTTCCCAAAACATCCTGTTCATGATGTCTTTTTAATCTTGAGGGTTTTGATCAACCAGTTGTGACACTTTCTGAATAGAGTTGATATGGAAGCACCTTATTTCTGCATTTAACAGGGACAATGATGGTTACCACTGGCTTACTGGAAGAGTGGATGATGTTATTAATGTTAGGTATTTAATTTTTCAAATCAAACATGTGAAGTTATACAAGCATCGAATTAACTAGTAGATCTTTATGATATGCGTTTCTCAAATTCTCAACATATCAGTCTTTACTCATTCATTTTCTAATATATACAGTGGACATCGTATTGGCACGGCAGAAGTGGAATCTGCTCTAGTGTCTCATCCTCAATGTGCAGAAGCTGCTGTGGTTGGTGTAGAACATCAGGTACTCTGTTTCCGTGTTTCTTGAAGGAGAAAGCAATGGTTTTGGCTTAACTATGTATAAATGCATTTTCATATTTTTTCTGCCATTAGGTTAAGGGGCAGGGAATATATGCATTTGTTACTCTTGTGGAGGGCGTTCCTTACAGTGAAGAACTTCGAAAGAGTCTTATAGTCACTGTGCGAAATCAGGTTGATACTGAATCTTGTTGTTTTTATTGAAACAGAAAGCTATACAAATTAGCGTACATCTTTTTGAGAATAATGGTAAAAGAACTTTTACTGCCAAAGGAGATTATAGTATTTCAGAGAGATACTCTTTAGGAACATTCCTTAAATGTGCCTTCCTTTTCAAACTCCCATGCCATCAAATTCAGGTGAAAACTATGCTCTATTTGGTACATAATAACAATTTTTAAATTTTATGTTCAAAGTTCTTATGTTTATTATGCTAAAAACAGATGCATATATATATATATATACATATTTGTGAATAATCTCATCACAAATAACATATTTCTCTTGACAAGACTAAAATAACACTTTAAATTTTTCTAATTCCATTATCATTTTCACCATTGTTCTCTTTATTTTTAACCAAGTTGTATGGCTTTGTAAATAAAATACTTACAATTTTGGAAAACAAATTTAAGACAAATTTTAATATGACCCCTTTTAGTTTGCGGTTATCTAATTTGAGACCTTGTATTTCTTTTTATTTAACTTACTACTTTGTGGTTCAGGCATTAATCAAGTTCACTAGTTTGTAACAATAGCAAAGTCAAAGAAAATTGAACGACACACTCGTCAGGGGACTTGATTAATCAGTTTGACTAATATCTGAATTATCAAGTAGTGAGTTATAAAAAAGAAAGCCATAAGGTCTTACATTATAGAATCTTAAATCTCAAATAGTCAAATTGAAATTTGCTCTAAAAATTAAAATGCATGTTTACCTACAAGAGGAGTCTTAGTTTCTCTGTTTACCCAGAGCAAATTGCCTTGCTTGGATATACTTGATTATCTACAAAACTCAAGAAGATCCTATTGGCTTGTGTTACTTGTTGTTTTCCAGCGTGAAGTTTTTTGTTCTACTCCAATGTTCTTAATTATTTTTCAGTGGAATTTAACTTGATGACCTTTCTTTTCATACGTTGTATGACTTGAATATCTGATTTTTGTTCTTGTGAGCATCACACTGCTCACACAATTAACAATGTTAGAAATGCCTTTCATGCACATTATTCTGCCTTCTTTTACGAACATAAAAAAGTTTCAGCTTCGTCTCGCAAGTCATGGATTTGCTTACCTAATTAGATGAATCTGATTTTGTTTTTTGAGTAATATTGATGAGAAGTTTGAGTTCCCTGTTAACTATCATTGTACGTTTTAGATCGGAGCATTTGCAGCACCTGACAAAATCCACTGGGCACCTGGCCTTCCAAAAACAAGAAGTGGAAAGATAATGCGACGAATTCTGAGGAAAATTGCTTCTAGGCAATTGGATGAACTGGGAGACACCAGCACGCTTGCAGATCCAGGTGTAGTTGATCAACTCATTGGGTTTGCAGACTGCTGAAGCTTTTGCAATTTTGATCTCCATGTGGTATGTTTGACCTGCCTGCTTCTGCTTCCCGACTAAAGCATCTTCTTACTTTTAACTTATTAAGCCGCAGATCGGTGATGATAGTTCATTATTGTTTTTGTTTTTTCTTTTTTTGTTGCCGTGTCTGTTGTTTTTTTACTTTGTTTTATGGCAGTTTGTATTCTTTGAATAATACCAGATCTTTATATCAATATTCTTAATCATGTCCTGTTGTATCGTTATGTTTTCAAATAATGATTTTTATTTTTCACAAGACAGTTGTATAATGGACCTTTTAGTACTGCTTCAAGAGCCATGTGTCGAAACGAAAGAAAAAGTAGTAGAAGGATGATCCTCCGACTTTGTTCAAATATTTTATGGTAAAATCCAGATAAGCCTTTTTAAGGTTCGGTTGAATTTGTCCAATAAATGATTAAAATTATTGTTAAAGCACAAATCAACCTTACCATCGCAGTTGGTTGATTTCCTACAAAATTTTGGAGTAAATTCCCCTCTTTTTTTTTTTTTAAAAAAAAAAATATATATATATATATAGAGTTGATTCTTAATTAATAATTATTATACTATAACATGTATAATTAGAATATAATTTATTAAATTCAAGCTTCAATTATTCTACTATAAATTTACTGAATATAGCAACCTAAATAGACGATGAGAATGGTGAATGGTCATGACTCAAAATACAGGGAATTATAAATTTTATTGACAAATTAATGCCTCATTATTTTTTACAACTATTCAAATTAAAACTAATATGAAATATTGTTGAAAATTCCGTGCCAAATTATTTTCCTATAGAAATGCGTGTACATAAACTGGAGACGGTGTTCTCATATTCGGGGACGGTTGGATTTTCTTTCCCGTTGCTCTAACAAGTGTCACATGATCTTTCTATCCTTCAAATGTAAAACCCGTAGGATATAATAAAGAGAAGAACAACGCAGATGCGTACTAGCAGCAAGGACCAAGAATAATCAAAACCAAACGGCATGTCTGGGGACCCAACATAAGAAAAAGCACTGTCAATGCTGGCAATAACACAACTAACGTATAAAAAAGTTCTTTAATCTTTCTCCGAATAAACAAATCCTCCTGTGAAGCCTTCCAACAACAACAACATTATGCCTCATGAACAAACAAAAGAAAGAAACAATCATCAACATGAGGTGTTCACAAGAAACAATTCATGCACCTCCCTCATCTTCTTATGGGGGTGAATAAGGAGCCAGTTCTGACAAAGCAAGAAGAATAAGGAGCCAGTTCTGACAAAGCTTCATCACTCTGGATACCTTCTTCACGCTACAGCCCTGGAAACTGCTTCTCAATCAGAATCATCATATTGCTCTCCATCATCAGATAACTCATCGAAGGATCTAATGTCAAGCTGGTAGCGGAGGATACCTCCAATTCCACCAAACCCTCTGCAAAATTGTGATCCTTCCTGAGATTTATTGGTCACAAACTCCAACGTGCAACCAAAACGCTTGTATTCGTTGGCAAACCACTCAAGTAAAGGCATCTTCTCCTGAACCTCCAACTCTGCATTGGTGGATGGATCATGGAAGTTGCTCTGATCAGCTTCCTGGTCCTTGTTCAGATGCTTTACAACTATTTCACCAGTAGTATTGTTTTTAAGAACATACCTATTGATATCCAGATTTTCCCACACGATAAGTGTTTCTACGGCACCCATCTCTAGAGCCTTTAGTGTATCATCGACACCAAAAACATACTTCCCAGTATCCTGGCTGATCTCTTCAAAATACTTTCCAATCAGGCGTTTCTCTTGTATGAACTTTACATTTGATAGGATTTCAGCTGATAGTTCAATGGCTTGGTTAAAACCATTTTCCCCTCCATAAGAGACATCAACGACATTTAATATTTTGGCCTGCAAACGAGGATCAAACATATCTGATTGACTCAGTTCGGTCTTGAAGTCAGCTGAACCAGCAAGGATTAGGCCAGCAACATTAGGCTGACTTGTAGCAGGATTGATGAAAAACTGTGTGGCAAGCTCTGCAGTCTTCCTCACATAGTTGTGACGTTTCTCCATCCGAAGACGAGCAAACCGTAGAGCTGATTGTCCTCCCCTTCCATGCTTCTTCGGAAGATCAACAGTGAATTTGTGAAGCACCTCTCTTGTATTCCCACTTAGCGTGCCAAATAGAGTGCCATTGCCATCCATGACAATGAAACCAAATTTATCATCAGATTCTAAAAGTTCATTTAGAGCTTCTGTGTGGAACTTGTTATCACAGAGGTATAGTGATGCGTTTATAGGCTTGAAAGGCTCAAAGTCAATTGTCACTTTCTTTTCTTTGCCATCTTCAGTTACAATTGTACCAGTATAAAGCACCAAACCGTTGGGAGGGACCTTGTTATAAAGCTTCAACCTCTGTTGAGCAGAAGTAATCGCAGCCAACACAGACTGACGGTTCACTCTGCTTTTGATGTTTGAAGCAGTTCCAAATTCATCACCAAGCATCTTCGTGACTCGCGATATCTGGTCACGAGGAGGCATGATAAGTGATATCATGCTTGTTCCATTTCCTCTCGCAGATTCTAAAGCCTTTATTAATTTTTTGATTTTCCATATCTCAATGTTTTTATCTGATTCATGTCCATCTGCCATTGCTAGAAAATGCTAGACACAACAGACAACAAGATTGGAACCTACAAAGAATATGCAGCATTAGTACATGTTTAACTTAATTAAGTTACCACTGCAAGAAGGGTGCAGACAATAGTAAGTTTCACGGGAAGAACTGCATCAGATTAACGATAAAAAGAATTAAATGCCACAAAAATACCTATATTATGTAATCTAGTGCAAGTGTAGTTACATGAGGGTAGTTTGTATCTAATTACAACTGGACCCATTATTTCAAAAAAAAAAAAAAGAAAATTACAAGAGTCCTTCTGCCATCCTTCTGCTAGGGCAAATTAGAACAGGGCTTGGTCTATTATTTGGGAGAAAACTTGTCCATCACTTTTGAAATGACAAATGATGTAAAACAATTGATTTTTGAGCTTCCCCATGAAAATTTAGCCAACATTGTGCTCAGTCATTCTATTCAATAGCTAAAATATGGAAACACATAATTCTGGTGGTACGATGAGATCATACCGACCAACTGGTGCATCAAGTTTCTCCTTGCAAGAAACTTCCACAAAGTTGTCCTCTGAGGAAAGATCTTGAGCAATAGGAACACATGGTTCTTCTTTCTCATCCATTTTCGGGTCTCCATATCTTCACCTTATTATACAGGAAAAGGAAAGTATTTACTAGTTCACTAGGAGCTAAATCGCCACCCTCACAGGAATGTAACCATCTCTTCCTTGCATTTCCTCCTTTTGTTTCATTAGGACATGCAAGTAATTCTTCTTTGGACATTATAACTCATGATGTTCGCATCTAAAGCAAACAATTTCCTTACTTTAAGGAGTCTTGGAAATTGATCCTGATTCATTCTTCAACTCACTTTTGACTCAAAGGTGTCCTTGAAGTGGTTCCATGAGCGAAAACTCAATATTTATTAGAAATAAGATATTTCAAATATTCTTCCACATCAAGGACAACTTGGTAAGTTTATCCTATGGTTGCAGGAGGTTTCTAAATTAGCTATCTTCTAATATCAGCTCTTCTACATACCTTAAATAGACATGTTGCTTGGGTATCATCTTCTACCAACTGATTTTAAATTTTTAAAAATTTAATTTATTTAAAATTATGTGTATTCAGTTATTGACATGCTGCCCTAAATTAAAATTTAAGTTTGATAATGAAATTTGTCGAAGCAGTTGGAAGATAAATATTTTTTACAAAGAGAGGTTTTCATCTCATCCCATGTTTCAGTTATTGTTGTCTCCTTGTTATATTCTCATCAATATCGTACAACCTTATTTTTATGACTCCAACCGGCTTCGTTTTAGCAAATCTCATCCTTCATGTATCTGACATGTTATACCAGTTAAAGTATTCTTCCAATGAGTTAAGTCAATCAAGGAAGAAACCAAGATCCCTTTTTGCAGCAAAATCATAGCTTCAATCCTTACCTTCTTCATAATGTCTCCAACATTATCTTCAATGTGTCTTCTATCAGTGGCTTGGACAACTTGCAAGTTTTGAGCTGGTGAGGCTACATGGTCAGTGGGCGTGTCTAGTTCTTCCAAAATTGCATTGTTTGTGTTTTACTCATCTCGAATCTAGTATTAATGTCTGCCTTGTACACATCCCACCTAGTATTTAATTCAGCATTAGTTACCATATAAGAGATGGGATATTTCTAAAAGAGTGTCGATTGAGAAGGGAACCGATCAAGAACTGGTATGGTCAAACTTGAAGCTTAAGAAGGTCAAAACAGATCAAAATGAGTGAGCCCTACCAGCAGGTAGGCGTAATTGTAGCTCATGCTTGACTTCCAGCCACCAAACAACAATGAGCTTCTGTCAGTCAACTTGATTGGAGGAGGAGGTTCTAGGTCGGAGGTTGGTGTGAGATGCAATTGCACCAAAAGGATGGAATTTTAAGAAGCAGTGGCTGGAAAGCTTGTAATGACGTATGCTGCATTTCCAGCAAAGTTGTGGGGTGAGGCTTCGGGGAGGTTGGTGTGAGATGCAATTGCACCAAAAGGATGGAATTTTAAGAAGCAGTGGCTGGAAAGCTTGTAATGACGTAAGCTGCATTTCCAGCAAAGTTGTGGGGTGAGGCTTCTGGGAGACACTGATCAAGGTTTTCTTTATCCTGGTAGTGCCAACTGTGTTGATCACCTCCTATTGATGACTGCCGTCTAGGATGACAGCAGGTTGGATTAGGCTTTGTGCTTTTCTGCTTTCTTTATTATTATTATTATTTTTTTCTTCAGATGGGAGTGGGCTCTTTGGGTGTTTGGTTTAAGATTTTTTAGCTCTAATACCTACTGACACAGGACAATTAGGACTAATTTGCCTATTTGGGGATTTAGGTAAAATAACTAGACACCACACCTAGAGTTTCTTAAAAATCAAATTTAAGAAATCTTAAGCATTACACTTTAAGGATTTGATTATATCTCACAACTGAACAATTGAGAAACTCTCAAAATACTTTATTGAAAACTGAGACATATCCTAAAAAGTTGAAATAACAAAAATATTGATAATGCATCCTAACTCTTACTAAATGGGATTAAACTAAGAAATACTAATAAGTATTTATATCAAATGCTGCACTGCTCTCAAAACTGAGATTACACAAGTTCAGCTACCAATGTAACCTTTCCAAACAGGTTTAGACTGAGAATTTCCTGGAGTATAGATGCTAACACTAAGACTACTCAATATTTCTCTTCCTTTTTCTCCTCAAGAAAAATAATATACTCCTAAGTTATACAATAATTTTAGACTTAAAAGAAACATAACTTCTAATCTACTTTGGAAATCTTGGTTAAACCTACTCTGCACCAAGGCAATTTACAGCCAGTTCTCTTTTCGGACTGAGTCGAAATAGTAAGGGGCTAAGTTATACTTTATTCAAATTAATGATTCAGTTCCAAAACTCAAAGACCACATGTGATTTATCCTTTTAGCAACTGAAACCACTTGAGTTGGTCTAAGAAACAAAATGGACTTTCAAGAGAGAGCGAGAGAAAGACAACTCTCATTAATATCATTTTCCCCATGGTACCCTATTAATATATACTTTACACTTTTTATCTAAAAAAAAAAAGACTCTCATTAACATATTTCATGTAGCATAAAAAATTGAGGTAAGCTTTGTTACGAAACTATGATTTCGAAGAATAATAACATATATAACACAGAGTGATCATGAAATTTCTCCTAATTGACGCAATAACCTTTGTAATACATTGACATTTCTTGAAGCAAAAATCCTTGTAACTTCTATGCTGTGGTATAACAGCCTTGACATATCTATCACCCTTTTTTTTTTCTAATAAAAACAACCATATGACTCTTATTGTTGCTGTTCTAATCCCCCGAATCACTTCCAATATCCAAAAAAACCTAGTTGCAAATTGTTTGGAAGTAGAGGAATGCTAGAGCATTTGAAGGAATTGAGGAGGAGTTTGTTAATATTAAGGATAGATGGATTCATGTTTTTGGCTCCTTGGTTTGGGGTGATGACATCAATAAACTTGATGATTTTGAGAATGTCATTGATCTACTAATTGACATGTAAATATCTTATATATGGGTGGTACCCACTTGGTATCATTGTTTCAATATTATACCAGTTTTATTTTTTATTTTTTTAAAAAGAAAGCCTAGTTGCAAATTACCTACTTATCCAACACTCCAAGGCCTTCTCTTCCAACCCATTGATAACCATAATGCATTTTACCCTTCTACGTTCATCTCCACATATACATTCAATCAAAATTTTATAATAGGATCACATTCAATCAAATCGTCCTCGTGTGTGATGTTCTGTGGATGGATCCGAGGCATTGCCATCTTGGCATGGTTATTTGAATACAAAGAAGCAAATGAAGAAGGAATCAAACTAATCAAAATCACAAGAGAAAAATAAGGAACTGTACGATGTCGAAGAAAAAGGCAAACTACGTCATGGAAAACTCTGACTGCTCGATATCTTTCCATACAAATTTCTTGATTTCTTTCCCATATCCTTGTCAGATAAAAATAACATTTCCTTGTGTCTTCTTGAGTCCCTTTCCATACTCTCCTCACCCCCACTTTTCAATAATACCTCACAAGCCCAAAAAGATGCCAAAAAGCTAAAAGCACATGTTACATTTTCTAACATGGCCATGAAGAAAATTCCTACAAGATTCTCCAACAAAAACCATGAATAAGAGTAAATAACAACAGAAGCGTACAAGCAAAACTACTGAAGTAAAAAATATGTTTAAAGTGGAGACCCACCCGAGCATCCACTATGGCATCAAATTAAAACGAGAAAAAGGAAGATAAGAAGAGAGAACGGGTATCTAGCAAGTTAACAGCCATCTATTGACTTTTGCTCTGTATCACCAAATTCCAGAAATGGAATAGATATTATTTGAAATATGCAGGTTTCTACATGCAGTCAACTATAATGTGCCAATGCAAAACAACTCTCGAACTGACAGTATAAAAAGAGCCTCAAAATTCTCACGGTCATGGTTTAAGCACAAAAGCGTCTTCTTTCATTATATTTAATATAAAAAAGAAGAAAAAACGTGTATTCTAAGAATTGGAAATTGAGATTAGGATCGAGGGCATAATTTGCCAACTTCAAAGTATCTAACCACCGAAACTGGCAACCACAAACCGGATATATATACATAAATTTAGACATAAATCACTTCAATTAGCTAACTCTCCTACCCAGCCTACCACTACAATCTCGATGAAGAGGAATTGTACGAGTCGATAAAGGATAAATAAAGAACCAATAATCAAGGGACCATGAGGTTTAACAAACGAATGCAAGGCTAAAACGAAACAACAATCATGAACACAATAACAAAAAGGAATAAGGAAAAATAAAAAATAAAAAACAAAGATTCTGAATTCATAGGCTCCGATTACAATACGTACCGATGTTACCGATACAGCCGCCGCCGCTGCCCGCCACACAGTTCCTCTCTCTGTCTCAGACTCTTGAGGGTCACTAGGGATTTTCCGTTCATTTCATCTTCTTCGCTAGATATCGTTATCTTCCCCACTAGAACCCGCACGTGCTCATCACGTGATACGATTTCTGAGTTCTGCCATTCTGCGCTTCCTGCCGCGTTCCTTCCTCCCACGGTATTGATTTTAAATCGGGCCCGTTTGATATAATAGACATATATCTTTTACTGAGAGGTTTTTTTTAAAAATAAAAAATAAAAAAGGATTTAAAATTCATAAATAAATAAAAATATTCATAATAAAATCCATAATGCTCTTTGATTCAATAATATTTTGCTGACATTTATTTATTGAATATGCTTAATTTGTTTTTTTTAAACTAAATTTGTAACTAATTAATTGTATTAGTATCTAATGTTTATTTAATTATAGTAATATTTCATTAAAATATTATATATTATAATTTTTATTTTTAGAAATTATTTGAATTACAGGCAACTTAGGTCCTTCATACCTTTTTTTTTTTTTTTTTTAAAATGTAATTACAAAATTAATAAAATAAAGAGATTTTTTTTTTATTTTTATTATCATCAATCTCTCAAATCTAGAATAACATTTGTATTAGTAATTATTAGAACAATAGAAAATAATCTGTTACAACAATGGCAAGTTCCAAGGCAATTCCATTAATTGAATGATAAATGGAAGTTCCAAGTCCTACACAAAAAAACCTTTGTGCAAGAGTAAGCAACAAAATCCAGCTATTAAATATGCTAAATATAACTCTACAGATATGAGGCAGCAATAACTTCACTATACTCTTTAGAAGCTGCTGATGCTACTGCTGCAACAAACATTAGCACCTGCTCATGTCCAGGCAATGTGTCCTCAAGTTGTTAGTCTATTGATTGGGGAGGTTTTATCGCTTTCCGGTCCAAAATTTTGTAATTGCTTATCTACTTCTTGCAGTTATCATGTGCACTAACAGTGAGAAGAAGAGAGTGTGAGAGAGAACCTGACCTCTTTCTTCGCAGTACCACAAAATTGGGAACAAGACTGTACAAAGAGAAAGAGGATGTAGGCACCTGGAGATATTGATCCAGTGGCACACCTCAAAATTGACCATGCATAAAAGAATGCCTTACACTCGCAATGAGACAAAAACCTTGAATAGCGCTTGAAGCTGCAGACTAGATGTCGATGCCAACTAAATCTCAGGTTGCGGTCAAGTTAAATTTGGCATGTTCTGGTGACCATCAGCAAATTCTCGAACTAAACGCTTCAGTACTCTTCCCCCTTTTCCTTGCATATGCCCATAGTTATTATTTCCTCCATTGCAACACTTGCTTTCAAGGTAGTCTGAGGCCGCACCACCAAGAGCCTCCAACCAAACTGGCAACATAGTGTCTGCCTCTCCCTGTTTTAGATACTCAACTGGGAGGCCCTGCACCTGGAATAGCTCAGCTTTCAAAATACTTGGGATTGGAAAAAATTATTGAAGCGCATTAATTGAAGGTTATGACTTAAAAAGTTGGGAAAACAACTGAAGGTCCAGATGTAGCATAACATTATCATCATAAATCATAGCTAAGCGTACATCCACATTTTAAGGGTTTGCTCATGCATAATTGCAAAAATAAGTGAACAAATTGGAGCTTCAAAAGATTAATAGGAGGTACTAATGTGCACCACAAATCTAAAATTGTTTATTTTACATAAGTACTTTTGCTCTTTCATCAGATGGAAGTCTAAACTTGATCTGACATTTCTGTGTGCCATAATCTAAACTTGATTGTTACATGCAAGTCCTTAATACAAACTTCATGCCGACGTGCATGCAAAAGCCCACACACAGATACACATCCGAAAACATGCAACTAAAACATACATATAATTGCATATATATATATATATATATATATAGAATGAGAGAGAAAGAGAGGAGACCGCTAAACGTAGCCATCCATGCAAAGATTCCCAACAAAGGATGCCCTTCCAGGTTGTTCTCTCACTTAAACTGCAAAGAGCAGCTAATTGTTGCAAAATTGTTGCACACTTGTGAACCTAAAAAATGTATTTAACAGCTGTACTTAGTAAGCCTGAACAACCATGATATAAAAACAATTAAACAATAAGAGAGATCTACTTGGTAATGGTCAAGGTAGAGAGCAGTCCCAAGAAATTTCTTTATGATTACAAGCATGTTGAAAGATGCTAAGTGCACCTCCGTTTCATGATAAATGGTATATTGAGAATCAGCAGAAACTACCGTAAATTACTTGATAAACTATAAATACCTTCTATCTGAGAGAGAAATCTACTTAGTAGTGGCACTTTATCGGGTAATGAAAAACAATTATTCAGTTTGAATTAGGAAAAGACATTGAGCACTCTCTCACTTGAATATAACATCATAATAAAAATATGATTTACTTTTAATAAAGGACCTGAACTATAATTTATCTATTTTAAGTAACTTAAAACACACTATTACTTTAATGACATTGCTTTTAACAAATTCCAAACACCCTCTATGTCATTTAAAGCATAGACAATAACATTCTCAGGAACATTCTTCAGTTTTTGAACATCCTCCAATAATTCTTACATTAGTCTTTAGCTATATAATTAGAACATAATTTATGTTTGAATTACCACCATCCTATCTTCAATTTCTTGATGATGAGGATTAAACGTCATCTTGAAATATAAGAATTCAATTATCACTATTAAGGAATTCAAGATGGATTGGTGATAATTTATAAACCTAAAACTATATTCGATTTACATATTTTTAGACTAACAGGAGAACTAAAATTACAATTGACGGAGACATGAATCAGACACCATACAGTAGCCAGCAGATTTTCCCCAAAAAGCAAGAGAAAGGTCAGGCATATTTTAGATTTTCTTTTGAAATTGTTTTGTTTTCTTCTTAAAGATATTGTTCCAAAAACAAACAATAATAACCAAATCCAAAACACGTGCCAGCTTTAAGTTTTTGTGGAACAAACAAACGTTTCACTCATAAATAAAGTAAAGAAAAGCTTGATTTACAAATAGATTTCAATATGTAATATTATAAATTATTTTCTAAAATTTACTAAATGAATACACTTGGAGAAACACAAGTGCAAAAAATATTCCAAGCCCTTTTCTTTTCTCTAAAAGAGGCTCTCAAATTCATTTTCAAATTGAATAAAAACTAATAAGTTTTTATTTTTCTGAAAAAAAAAAAAAAACTATTAAGAAGGATAGAAAAAATTACAAAAAAAAAGTTTAGATAAGGCATCCTCGTAAAAGCGAACAAAAAAGTAAACAAAGAAACAGGAACAGGAAGGCCTAAGTATAGAATAGCCTCCCAGTTAATTTGTAAACGGGACCACAAAAATCCGTGTGCCTTAGCCCACAAAGAAGCCAAAATACCACCCTGTTCCAGAGAACTAAGAGCATATTGGGTGTGTTTATTAAATTCTAACATTGCACTCCAACCAACTATAATATCCAAACCCCAACAAAGAAGCACCATGCCGTAAAATTGACAGAATCAGAATGCACTACTTAGTTATACGGAGAAGTTCCTTTAGAAAGAACAACAAAGTTGGGAATAATACTAAGTGCAAAAAATATGCATATCCAGGAAAAGAATACAATCATGGTAGAATATGCAAATGCTTAGTAGAAAATATTTGAATGTGATCAGGAATAAAGGATGATGTTTTTTGATAACTTAAAAGAAAATAAGAAAAGGTGATTAATAATTTACAGAAGTACATATGCGTAAAGAGTTCTTTTCAATATTTTATATGTAATCAAGTTACTATAATTTGCATGATTTTTAATTAGAGATACATGAACTTCTCTTATTATTTGATAGAGTGAAAATACAGGAAGCAATTTAATACAGAAAATTTCTCTAAATTATTTCATGATTTAACTAAGAAAATTTTATGCATTTATTTGTTTAATGGACTTAAAAGTATTTATAATCTAATGTTCACCGAGTGCACAGAAAAAAACTAGTTATATATACTTACGTATATATGGATTTGCAAATAAATTCCCAATTGTTTTCCTAGAATTCATTTATTCAAAACACAGTGTTAAACTGAATGCTGAACTAGTGTCTGGGGGCAAAAATTATACTGGTGGTTGCATAAAAATGCAATTACCCGGGACATTGCAGAAACACCCAGTAAAGCATACACCACATTGGATAGAAGCCCCTCTCCACTACGTGATACGACCTGAATTGCCATGTCACTGAATGATCCTTCCGAAATACAAGTCATAGATTCCAATAAAGAGGCTAGTCCTACCTCCAAGAAACCTTACAAGATTCAAATCAGTGTCGTTAGATATAAAACAAAAAAAAAATCCATATAGGAGTAACGAAGGGAGAGAGAGTGCATCTTTTCTTGTCCTCCTCTCAGATCATTAACACCAAAAAGAAAGGAACACATTATGCTTACAAGACAAATAAGACATTGCTGCAAGTGCTGCTCCACGGTGCATTGCTGTGCAACAAATAGCTGCCTTTTGAAAGGAAACTTCAAGAAGGGCACCTGATGCAGCCAATACTTCCTGACATACATTAGGCAACTTTATTACTTTGCTATATGTAAGTCTCAGAAAATGCCCAACAAACAAGTTCCATTCATGAGCCATTATAGGTTAAGAAAACACAAGTAAAAGCAACATGATTAATCAATAAATCATGGGTGTACTAAACCTTACGAGAGCCACGGATGAACGTCGATGCAAAATTTGTATAGGCCTCCACTAGATCAGGCTCTTGGTCACATATATATGAAGAATTAAGGCCCATGACTGATGATGCTTGGGTAAATCTCTCAAAAGTGGTAACAAACAAAGGCCCGTACTCCTCCTTTTGACAAAATTCTTCAACAATAATGGAAGCTGAAATGATTTCCACGTTGCCCCAAAACCCGAAAAAAGGGAATAGAAAAAAAAAGCAAAAATATTAATAGAAAATGGGAAGAATGACAACAGAAGACATGACTGATGATCAATATTATTTCTTCACAGTCAACATAAAATAAAATGAAAAAGAAAATATCAAGCGGTTATCAATCTTCAATAGTATTAATTCAATTCAACACTGAAGTAGTTGATGGTAATGTACTTGGGCAAAGTTGAAAAAAATCTAGATACCCACGGCAAAGTTGAAAGTCTCTGTGATGCAAATGCACAGTTTATCATAAACCAAACACCTCACCTGTTCGGATGTAGCATTCATGGTTTTGGAATGACAAAAAATTTGTTGATAGGCAGTCTAATACATTAGGCAGTAGCGTGACAAAATGTTGACCTGCACATGAAATTCATTCAAAAGAGAGATGGCTATTAAGATGTTCAGAATCTAATTTGTTTTTCTTTATCAAAAGAAGAAAAGACATTGTTTGGGATTTGCAACAAATGGGTTGAATAGACTAGATTTATGCATGATAATGGCAGTGTAGCTTTGGTACAGCCAGAAAATTAACAAAGTTAATTTGGACCAAGAAGTCATAATAAGTACCTCTAGGAAATTAAAATACCCTATAACTAAGCTTATAAGGCATAAATAATATTCATATTTAATCTTTTGGAAGTTACCTTGTAAAGGTAGAGGGTTTAGTTCATTTTAATTGTATTCTTACTAGGGACCCCACTGCATCTGAGCAGCAAGCTTTTCCATCAAAAGCCTGCTTTTCCTTTCTCTAAAACTTTCCACAAGAATGAAAATGTATATCTTGCTTGACTTTAAAAATCAATCAGCTTTAATCCCCAGACACAATTGTTAGAGAATCCCAAACCTAACTTAAACAGTTGGGTACTTGGGTCAGGGGTCCAAAAGGTTGTTGAAAAGGAGTACCAAATACCTGATGATTGAACTGCAAGTGAGAGAGCCCGGCAAGCTGCAGCAGATAAACTACCACTCTCCATGTGTTTAGACTTAAAAAGTTTCTCTAACATGGGCCAAAAAACAGTCAGCAGAGCGAGAATTGGATCATCTGAAGCAGATCCAGCAGGCGAACTTGTTGCAAGATGACTGAAGACAGTTCCCATCCTGAAAAGTAAGCAATGAAATCTAAAACGAGAAAAAGAATAAAAGGTTTTCTTTAAAAACTAAACCCCATATCTTCCTGACCTGTTTACTTGTAATTTGGAAAACATGAAAAGAGAACTGCATTATTGGATAATATGATGGGAATGCTTAAAAATTGTTGAAAATCGAAAAAACTCCAAACCTCAGCCAATATTAGCAAATAAGAAACGTTAACCATTCTTTTCTTTTTCTTTTTTCCCTAATTGTTGGAATATAGATAAAAAAAATATTTGGTCTTTCTCCATCAACTTAAACTTTTAAAATAATTGGCCGCATAACTTAATTATCTTCTATAGTATCATAGAGATTGAGAATTTGAATTCCAGCTACTCTGTTTCTGTTAACTTAAATTAAATCACAATACATCATGTAGTTTGCATGTATGTACTTAGTATATAAGAGTGTCTAAGAATATAATTACAAGATTTAAGTCACTTCCTATCAATTCAAACTTTTAAAATATTTGGTCACCCAACCTAGTTATCTTCTATGGTATCATATTTATAAATAGAGAATTTGAATTACAGATGGATCCAAACTTTTTTTAATCAGAGTTAATGGATTTAAATGAGACTTATATGATGTTTATGTATGACAAGTATACTCTATTATTCTTAATACCTTTACTCTTGGATTATGGATTTATCCATAATGAGGTAACGCAAAAGAAACTTTGTCCGATATTAAATACCAAAATCGATCCTTGAATGGGAAACGACTCAAGCATCTATAGAGTAGGTTATGCATGGAATAGAACTGGGCCAAATAAGCATCTTAAGAAATTTGTGTGGTCAATTTAAATGTACTAGAGAGGGACATTCAACTGAAAAAAGATTCCACATAACTTAATGCATCTCAATAAAATTTAACATAGAATCTATTTGAGAAGGACATAAAAATTAAATCTAGTTGGGATAGTTATTTCTACCTGAAAATGACAGTTAAACTATTGAGAATTCTACTGTTTCGTGCATTAACAATAATGAACTCATTCGTTTGTTAGTCATTGCAAATTTGAGATGTATGTGAAATCGAATCCCTAATACTTATTAATCATTAGAATTTTAGTATCAAATAGACGCTCGCTAATAGTAGGCTAGTTTATATTTTATTGTTTGCATTTATAATAGAAACAATAAATTTGATTTCGATTTCTAAAATAACGTCATAGTGTAATTATATTAAGAACACAATCAATTCGATCCTCGTGGAAACAATATCTTTACTTATCATTTTATTACCCGTACGATTGGTGCACTCAATAATGTATTTAAGTTGCATTAGTGGATGAGGTTATAGTGGCAAATGAAGTGGTGGATGAGATGGTGGGCAACAAGAAAGAGAGAATACTATGTAAATTAGATATGGAGAAGGTGTATGATCATATCAATTGGGAGTTTGTGGATTATATGCTGGGAAGGATGGAATTTGGGAAAAAGTGCAGGAGGTGGATAAAGTTGTGTATTACTACAATCTCTTTTGCGGTGATGGTATATGGAGAGTCTTCTTCCTTTTTCAGGGCGTCTAGAGGCTTGAGATAGGGAGATAATTTATCTCCTCTTCTGTTTATGATAGTTATGGAAGCATTGAGCAGGTTGTTGGACAATGCTGGGGAGGAATTGTTGGGGGTAGTGAAGGTGGGAAGAGGTGTCCATCAAGTGGAGATCTCTCACTTATTCTTTGCTGATAATATTCTGATTTTCTGTCAGCTCGAGAATAGGGATGATATTGAATCTCCGGTATGTTCAGTTGTGCATTCAAACTGTTTCTGCTTTGAATATTAATCAGAATAAATCAGAAATGGTGAGATTAGGAGATAGTAGGGATGGGGATAGGCTTACCAAGGTTTTGGGATATAACTTTGTAAAGCTTCCTCGCAAGTATCTTGGGTTTCCACTAGAAGCCAAATACAAAGATGTGAGGACTTAGAATCCTATGATTGAAATTCCGACAAAAGACTAGCTGAGTGGAAGAGAAACTACTTTTCTAAGGGTGGGAGGCTAACGCTCATTAAAAGCATGCTTCTAAACCTTCCTATTTATCATTTATCTGCTTTGACATTGCCACTAAACGTGACGAAAAATCTAGAAAATATTCAATGTCGGTTCCTATGAAAGGATGAAGAAAGGAGTAGGAGATATGTAAGGGACCAAGGATAAATTAGGAAAATAAAAAAAATAATATGTAGGGTTAAAAAGGGTAAATTTGTACGAGGATAGTTTTGTCTTTTCAATCATAATAAATTAGGAGGGGAAGATTCGGAATCATCATATCCAGCGGTTACAAATTCCTACTCTATAGCTTATATTTAAGCATGAACTCAGCGGTTACAATCTTTCTCTCACATCTTGTCAATTCTAGGCCTCTCTCTCTCTCTCTCTCTCTCTGCTTTCTTCCTATTTCTTTCATATTCGAACGATGTATTAGGTTTGAGACAACTTTGCATCAGAGTCATCCGAGCAGGTGGAGCCGACAGTGAGAGGTGGAACAACTGCTACCTAATCTCGTGGGCGAAGTTCTTAAGTTCAAAAGGCAGTTGCAGCAGCAGTTTGAATATTTAATGGAGATGGAGATGACGTGCAGCAATGTCTTTTTCCTGGAAGACGCGAAGCTGATGGCTCAAGCGGCCACACCTGTTGGATAGAAGACGATCCTATCAACCCCTTTTCCACATGATGAAGAAGAAAAAAAGAATTGGGGTTAAGATGAAAAAAGAAAGCCCAGTTCAGTTATTGAATCGGCCCAAAAAACACAGATCAAATCTAGTTTTTTAACTTCTCCTATTCGAACCGATTCACCCATATTTTGAATAGGACCGATTCAACTGCTCTACTTCTCTTCCTTTCTCAAGCAATAGTGGTCGAGAATGGAAACCTAAAAGGTTTGTCCCTCGTCCACCTTTTTGTCCACTACGATAGCCTGACTTTTGGCAAGAAGCTTCCCATTTCGGAGATCATGGCTCTTGGCAGTTAACTAGATGAAAAGAGCTACCAACTGGAAGCTCTACTCAAGTTCCGTTTCAATACTTGCGAGATCAAGATGGGAACTTGCAAGCCTCTCGTTCTTAAGATGGTTTCTAATATGGAAAATGAGAAGCAGAAGAAGAAGAGATGGAAGAAGGAGAGGTGCAACAAGGACAAACAGACGAAGAAAAGGTAGAAGAAGAAGACGTTACCATGGCGCCGAGAGATGGAGCGATTAGAGCGGCCGATAAGGGTATGCTGGTGGTGGGGAGGGGCCATTCAGAGAAGGTCTAATTTCCTATGGGTTGAAGCAATAGAAAATTACTTTAAGAATATATATAATAATTAAAAAATAAACATAAAAAAACAAACTACTTAAAAAAATGCTTTAAGCAAAAAAAATCTGCTTAAAATATATATATATAAATTTAAAAATAAAAAATAAAATAAGAATTAAAAAAATAAAAGCTGGATTTCAACCTCGAGAACAAGGTTGATGTTTAAGGAGAATGTATTGTAAGGGATCAAGGGTAAAAAAGGAATAATATACAAGGGTAAAAAAGGTAAGTTTGTACAAGGGTATTTTGTCTTTTCCTAGGAGAGAAAGATCCAAGATCACCATAACCAGCGGTTACAAATTCCTAATCTATAGCCTATATTTAAGCATGTGCTCAAGGAATAAAAGATATGGACAATTGTTAAAACTTGAGTACACTTACATCTCTCTCTCTCTCTCTCTCTCTCCCTCTCTCCCGGCTTTCTTCATCTTTCTTTCTATTTCTTCTAAATCCAAACTATATATCAAGTTCCTGATAAGATATCATCTAGTGAAGTGGGATGAGGTGAAGTTGCCTTTGGAATAGAGTGGATTGGGGTTTAGATTGTCTGTTGAGATGAATATAGCCTTAGATAAAAAATGGATGTGGAGGTATATGAGATATGAAGGGAGATTATGGAATTAAGTTATTGATGTGCGTTGGAGAATGGATGATGGTGGAAGGTTAACTAGAGAGGTTGTGAGGCATCACAGGATAGGATTGTGGAGGAAGATTGGTATGGGGAGACAACAATTTCAGGAATGTATTCAATGGAGACTGGGGAGGGAATAAAATCTGATTTTGGGAAGATTAATGGATCGGAAGGGGTAGTCTCATAATTCAATTGACGAGGATCTATACTATCAGACAAGTGAAGAATACGGTTGTGGAGGAAGCATATAAAAGCATAATGAAAGAAGGGAGCGGAATGTGACTGTGACAAAGAATTTCAACAATTGGGAGATAGAAAAATATGAGGAATTATTATAGATTTTGTCCAATGTGCATTTAAATGACAACAAGGACAGGGTCATGTGGAAATTGAAGACAAATGGGGAGTTCATTGTCAAATCCTTTTATAATCACTTGGTTAAAAAGAATGAGGCAAGGTTGGTTAGGTTTCCTGTTAATCAAATTTGAAAGGTGAAGGCACCCCTAAGAACAGCTTTCTTTACATGAGAAGCGGGAAGAGAATGCATTCTGACCATGGATAAGTTGATGAAAAGGGGTAAAGTTTTGGTGAATGATTCTTACCTATGCAAGAAAGCTGTTGAATCTTGTAATCGCATTCTTTTTTGGTGTCCAATGGTGTATGGTTTATAAAAGAAGAATTATGGGCTTGGGACGGGGTATATACAAAGAAAAAATTTGAAAATCTTATTCCTTCAACTATTTTTGGGTGGTGTGGAAAGAGAGAAACAATAGTGTTTGAAGGGTGTGATGGGGAAATGGCTAGAATTAGGGATAGATGAATACATGTTTTGGTTCTTTGACTTCGGGTTATGACATTTATAGGTTGGAGAATTTTAGGAATGTCATTGATAAATTAACTAAGCTGCAAATATTTTGTAAATGGGTAACACATCCTTGGTGCAGTATAATTTAATATACTACATTTTTTTATCTCAAAAGAAAATTTAAGTTGCGTCAGTAAGCATATTTGGAAAACAATCTGCAACCATAAGTAAAACATTTTACCACAAGAGATTGGAAAGTTGTCTGCAAAATCAAGTGAAATATCGGCCCAAATCTATCTCGGAAGTGACCTACGGACTTTAGGTGCTCTACCTTATTATGTTGACAAATAGTACAAGGACAAACAAAATCACAAACATTTTCTTCAAACCTTATCCAATAAAAATCAATAGAGATCTGCTTAAGGGTTTTTTAGTAGCCCTCATAAAATTGATTGTAGATGGTTGTCAACAAAAGACCTATGAAAGATGAATCAGGATTGAGGATCACTAAGTTCTTGCACAAACTCTGTTTCAAACTCAAGCCACTAGCTTGTGCAGACAACAATTCTTTTCGTTGATAATCAGCCACCGTTCCCCTCAACCGCAATTTGCTCAATTCCCCATGTTTGTTACTTCTAATGGGTAGCACAAAGTGCAGATGGCAAAGAATGCTTGAATCCTACCAAGTGATGTGAGGTCAATCCCTTTCAATTGACAAACAGTAATAGGGTTTCTCCTTCCAGATGGAAAGACACCAGAGTAACTTTTGTTATTCAGCCGTCTGTTCATGACGGAATAAATGTTTGCAGTGGCCAATCCATGCTGGAGGATCAACCAAATCATCAAACTGTAGAATGTTGAGTTTGGTGTAACAAGAGATGAAGGAATGCACCATTTCAATCATTGGAGTGCCATCATGTCGCTCACCAGACTTATAGTGCATGCTGCCTTCCCCAGTTTGTGAGCACCCAATTGACCAGCAGACAATTCCATTAGAACTTCTAACCATCCAGAGAGTAAGACAAAGCCCTAATACTATCTCATTCACGATCATCTTGATAAGTCCTTAAAGAAAGATTTGAACATGAAATATAAAACCCCCTTACCTACTGGCTCTATGTACCAAATTGTTAGACTCCCTACCAAAGGATCTAGTCGTGGGTGATGAACATAATCACGTACAAAGACTTTTGAAGGCTTTAATGTTTGTGGGTGATGAACATAATCACGTACAAAGACTTTTGAAGGCTTTAATGTTACTCATCAAAAGCTTACTTGTTGTGCACGGAAACTTTCTTGAAAAGAATTCATGATGCACATAAGATAACCAAGTCAGTGATGTGTGCATACCTATACAGCCCTCTTGTTGCTGAGCTTAAAATTTGCATGTAGGTAGCTAGATTCGCTCTGGAAGAATGGTCATTGTCATCATCAATCTGAAAGGAACCAAGTCGTTAATTTTAATTCATAAATTGACCAATGATAGTATAAGCTAAGTAACTGCTATTTCTTAATGATAGTCCATATCACAAAAGAGAGAAGACTTCTCCAGATTATCAAGGAACAAAGAATCAAATCAAAATCAAAAGCAGCATGCTACCGCTGGAAATGTATCTAAATTACAAAATATGCTTGCTTCGGTTTTCTATAGGACGAAGCACTTTCTTCTCTCTTTGCTTTTCTTTTTTCCTGCCTAGGTAGGGGAGAGAATGGAAACTCTAGGATGGGAAGATCAGAAGTACTAGGAAAACAATCATCACAAATATCATCTTCAAAATTGCAGCTGTCATGTTCCTTGATGAAAGCTAAGAATGTACAATCTTTTTGAGACTAAGGATTTATAACAAGGAGGGTTAAGACAAGAAAACAAAATACTCCAAAACAAAGATGGTGGCCAGAGCATAACCAAGTCAACTTGAAATTAGTGATCAATCCCAAGTTTAGATGGTCCCTAAAGTAACAGGTCAGAGCTTAGGGAAGCAAGAAAATCTAGCACACAAACACACATTTTGGATAAAGACCTAAGTGAAAATGGATTCTAAAAACTCAAACAAAAAGTCTGAAGCAGATTAACATAAATTTAAAAAGATCTCCGTGCAAATACCCGAATCGATTCCCTGAAAGTTTCTTCATTATGGAGGGCAAACAGAACTTAACAACAGATACTCTTGTAGTGAAGTTTCACAAGTAAATTATAATGAAAGGATATAATACGAAATAAAAAGCTGGAGCAAGAGAACCAAAAGATATGGAACAAACTAGATATATAACATTAAAGAGAAGAGCAAGCAAGAAGCAGTAACAACTTACAAGTTTTCCAATAGCTTCATAGCTAGAAGAAAGCAATCGAGCCAATAAGTTGCTTTTTAGTTCTTTGTTAGAGATAGAGCCAAGAATCATATTGATGGCACTAACAACTTCTTCCTCATCTTCAAGAGGTAAAGACATTTTCTCCAAAGACTGGAAAAAATAAAATAACACGAAATAGAAAAACAGAAAAATGAATCCTTTTAAAAGACCAAGAAAAAGAAAATGATGATGTCATGAAAAACATGTACATGTAAGCAACAACCTCATGGGATGTTTTCCAATCAGCTTACAGTGTCTGAAACAATTATAGAAAGAGAGACAAAACAAAAAGTAA